CTTCCCTGCCCCCCCCCAGCGATGCTTCGCTTCTGCCCCTCCCTCCCCCCCATTTTGGGCAGCACCCTACGGAAGGAAGGATAAAGGGGCCCCGGGAGGTGGGGTGGCTCCTCCAGTGGCACAGTGGGCTTGAGGGCTCGGGCAGATCATGGTGGCTGAGGCTTTGAGACCCGCCCACACACTCCCACCCCACCCCGACCCTGGGGTTGGGCAGCAACTCTAAGGCAGGGTGGCATCCTGGGCGGAGGGACATCGCGGCTGTTAATCCTAGGGGGTGGGAAGGAGACCTAACCCCTAGAGCCACTCAGCACTGGGTACCCATGGAGCCTGGGGCCATTGGGTTCTCCCTGTCTGGGAGGTGGCCCAGGTCCCATGCAGCTGCCAGTGTAACATGGCCTCCTCCCCCACACGTACCAGAATTTGCAGCCTGGACCCGGCTCCCTAGGACCACCGACCTTGGTAAAGTGTATCCGTTCCTCACCTGCCACGTGGGGGCTCTGTCAGCGCAGTGGGTACCTTCTCCTCTGAATGGAAAGACATCTGAGCGGCAGAGGAACCCTGGAGACAAAGGGTGTGTCTACATAGCAGGGCTTAACTCGAAATAAGCTACGCAAACTGGGCTACATCAACTGCATGGCTTATTTTGAAATAGCTTATTTCGAAACTGGTAGCGTCTACACAGCACTTATGTCAAAACAGAGCTCTCTTCCTCCAACTTCCCTTCTCATATACTGAGGGTTACAGGACTCGGAGTAAGAAGTCCTCCAGCTTGACAATATTTTGACATTATTTTGAAATAACTGCCTGCTGTGTAGACATGGACTAAGTTGTTTCAAAATAATGTTGGTGTGTAGATGTACCCTTACTCCCATCTCATTCAGGCTAATAACATTTAACATGGACTAATTTACCTCAGCATACAGCCATGACAGTAATTACTGCCCTTGTGCATTCTTATGTTGGCCGTGCACGTCCTCACCAGGATCTCTTATTCCACTTGTACTGTCAGTGTGGGGCATTATGGGACAGCTTTTGAAAACCAGTAAGAGTTGACGTAAGCTATGCAGTGTCTGCACCAGCAGATCTCAACTTATTTACCATTATGAACTGGTGCAGCAATCTATGTGTTATGAGGGCTGTATCCACATAATATATACACTACCTGTAAGGCCCTGAGGATGTCTTATAGGTCACAGCTGTGGGCGAATTGAGCTGCAAGCAGGCTGAAAGTTGAGAACCTCTGGTCTACACTAACACTGCATTGACCTAACTATAGCGACATTGATTCTATGCTTCTCAGGCTACATCTAGACTACAAGCCTCTTTCGAAAGAGTTTTCTGTTAAAAGCATTTTCGGAACAGAGCGTCTAGATTGGCACGGATGCTTTTCCGCAAAAGCACTTTTTGCGGAAAAGCGTCTGTGCCAATCTAGACTCGCTTTTCCGCAAAAAAGCCCCGATCGCCATTTTTGCGATCGGGGCTTTTTTGCGGAAAACAAATCTGAGCTGTCTACACTGGCCCTTTTGCACAAAAGCTTTGCACAAAAGGGACTTTTGCCTGAACGGGAGCAGAATAGTATTTCCTCAAGAAGCACTAATTGCTTACAGTAGGAAGTCAGTGCTTTTGCGAAAATTCAAGCGGCCAGTGTAGACAGCAGGCAAGTTTTTCCGGAAAAGCGGCTGATTTTCCGGAAAAACTGGCCAGTCTGGACACAGCCAAGGTGATTGTAAAAATGCTGGATACTATGTTTAGTTTCTCATTTTTGCTTTTAAACAGGACCTCTTGAAAGATTATTTGTATAAAAGAGAAAAAGGAGAACTACTAATACAGAAATCAAAGAGACTTAAAGATAATCTTTTAAAGCAGGTAATCCATTCTTAACAGATTTTTATCAATTCTGCTTCATGTGCTTATAAAATGTAGTGAATTCCTAGCACCTGTGTAGTGAGAACACTATGTTTTAGAATTCTATATGATAGATTACAATAATTTCAAAACAAATTAAACAGTTTATACAAATCTATGTATATTTTAACATAGATGCAGCTATCAGTTTCAAAAGATGGATTTGTTCATTTTGGAGACACTGTGATGCTTCTGAGCCCTGAAAACAATAAATCACCTATGGAGAATTATCCTGCAGTGTGTGGTAATCTAACCTTGGCTGTTAATCCAGATGATATAAGAGTACATACATCTGATTCACTACAAGCCCCCTGTGGAGTGAGCGCAGTGAAAAGTGTGAAGCCTGTTGGTCGAAATGCATTTCATATCCTAAGGTTTGGTGTCTTACATTCAGTAGATTCAGTAGCAGTTACACCTTTGTGTTAAGGTTTAATCTTATCTTGTGAAATAATGAACTTGCTTAAAAAGAAAGTCAGTATGTAATGCCACATTTTATTGAGTTCAGATTAATGGCTTAATTTTTATTACACATTAGATCCCTATTCTGCACTCATGCCAGTGTGTATCAGTAGTAATTCCAATTAAATCAATGAGCTTGCACCAGTATAAAACTGGTGCAAAAGCAGAATCATGTTTAATTGTACTTATTTTTAATAAACTACCAAATATTTTAAAGTTAAATAAACTCTACAGCTTATTATTGTCATAGAACAATATTTTAAGTTAACAAAGCATTTACAAACATAACTTGTTACCTCACATGGATTTTATAAGAATTAGTCAAATCTTATATCCTTCTTTCTTCTGTGTAACAACATAAAAGAGCAAAAGGTGCCTTTTTGTCCTGACATGCTAAAAGTTGAGCAATATCTCTGGTTAATTCTTGACAATGTTAGAAGAGATGGTATGCTTCAGTTGTAAACCGTTTGAGGTTGAGGTTATATTTTTGTTATATGTGTAGACAGAGTCTAACATATGGGTAGAAATGTTTTCATGACCTAAAAATAAACTATTTTTTTCATTTAAACATTCCCTGCTATATTTAAAAGCCAAATGCTGTATCATTGTGTTAATGGAAGGGAGCTAGATGCTGACATTAACTAGAGACAAAAAACCTGGATCTGTAAATTCACCAAAATCTAAAAATAAAATTTATGCAAATAAGCAGCATAAATTATGTAAAATAGACTTAAAATATTTTAGAATTGGGAATATAGATAAAGTAAAATATTATGCAATTTTAATCTGATAGCCTACTCATAACAGCGGAAGTCGATTATAGGGATATAGAATCATAGAAGATTAGAGTAGGAAGAGACCTTAGGAGGACATCTAGTCCAACCTCCTGCTAAAAGCAGGACCAACTCCACTTAAATCATCTCAACCAGGGTTTTGTCAAGCCAGGCCTTAAAAATCTATAAAGCAGGAAATTCCATCACTTCCCTAGGTAACATTCCAGTGCTTCACCAATCTCTTAGTGAAATAGCTTTTCCTAATCTCCAACCTATACTTCCCCCAAAGCAACTTGAGATCATTGTACCTTGTTCTGTCATCTGTCACCACTGAGCACAGCCTAGCTCTGTCCTCTTGAACCCCCCATTCAGGTAGTCGAAGGCTTCTGTCAAATCCACCCCTTACTCTTCTCTTCTGAAGACGAAATAAGCACAGTTTCCTCCGCCTCTCCTCATAAGTCATGTGCCTCGAGACCCCTAATCATTTCCATTGTCCTCCAATTTGTCCACATCCTTTCTGTAGTGGGGGAGGTCCAAAACTAGATGCAGTACTCCAGATGTGGCCTTACCAGTGTTGAAAACAGAGGAATAATCACTTTCTTTGATCTGCTGGCAGTGCTCCTACTAATGCAGCCCAATATGCCATTACAGTCTTCTTGGCAATAGGGACAGTGTTGACTCATATCCAGCTTTTCAACCATTGTAATCCTCACAACCTTTTCTGCAAAACTGCTGTTTGCCAATTGGTCCCCACTCTAGCCTGTAGCAATGCGTGGGATTTTGCAGTCTTGAATGTAGGACTCTGCACTTGTCTTTGTTAAACATCATCATATTTCTTTTGGCCCAATCCTCTAATTTGTCTAGGTCACTCTGGACTCTATCCCTGCCCTTCAGCATATCTACCTCTCCGTCCCAGTTTGGTGTCATACGTGAACTTGCTGAGGGTTCAGTCCATCCCATCATTCAAATCATTATTTAGTGTTGCAGAATAATGCTTATGATCAAAGGCAATGAGCTAACTTTAACATTTCATTAGCAGGTTGGGTTTTTTTTAATTGAGGTGGATGATAAATCGATATGAAAACTAAACAACATGATAAATTGGAAATACTCCTTTTGCTTTTTCAGATGCATGAATTAAACATATAGATTGGGATTTTCAATGAATCCTAAGTGTTGAATTCCCTGGGCTCGTCTAGACTGCATGCCTGTCTCAAAAGAGGAATGCAAATGAATCAGATGGAAAATTCAAATGAAGCGAGGATTTACAAATCCCGCACTTCATTTGCATAATTGCATCTGAGCACTTTTTCAAAAAAGGGTTTTTTGGGGAAAAACAAACAAACCCCGCAGTCTAGATGGGGTTCTTTCGAAAAAAACCTAACCATTTTTCGAAAGAACCCATACACCTCATTTTTTCAGGAAAAGCACTCAGATGCGATTTGGATTTTTGATCTACTTCATTTGCATTCCTCTTTCGAGAGGAATGCAGTCTAGACATAGCCCCTCTGATTTCACTGATATTTGGGTACCAGTCTCCTTCAGGCTTACTGATGGGAGATGGGGAAAACGGGCAATTGCCCTGTGGCCCAGAGTTTCAAAGGGAACTGGAGCTCCTTTCCATTGGTTCGGTGGTGGCCAGAGCTCCAGGCCCTTTTGAATTGCTGTGGGAGCTCCAAGGGCTGGAGAGGGGGGCATGTGTTGCAGTCTGGGCAGCTAAGGACTAACTGCCCTAGGGCCCATCCCTTCCACCCTCAGCCCCACCTGGTTGGGGGCATGGAGCTAGTCCTCCCCCAACCTTGCATCAGGGCCCACAGTACCTGTCAGCCCTGCTGATCTCCTTTAAATTGTTTTGAAAATCCCATCGTGTGTGTTTAATGTATGCATCTGAAAAAAAAAAGCAGAGAGAGCCTAATTTTCCACTCTGAATATTAAATATCGATGTGATAAATTATTTAAATTCCAACTCTTTCTAGAATGTATTTGATACTAGGAACCTTAATAAGAGGCAGTGACACCAACTTCTATGATAAGTAATTCCAACTAAATACACGTGTGTATATATACACAAATCAGTGCATATGGTGTGTTTCAATGTATATGGTTCTTTTCTGTGTTAACAGTGTTGAAGGAAATTCTATGGGTGAACCAATTAGATTTGGGCAGAATTTTGGTCTTGGGACAACAGGTGGTTTTGCTGATCAAATGGTAAGGCAACACAAGTGTAAAGTAAAACTTTAGTGCTTGTCGATACTGTAAATTTAGGTTACTCTATAAATTTTGAATGCTATTTTTTGTTTTTAAAAAAAGCAAAGAATTATACTGAACTTGGAGCACTTCATGTGAAGAGAGGAGAAAAGCAACATATACAAGAGTACTGTACATGGCCAAACATGCCAATTTGCAAGACAGGATGTTGGGGGCCCGAATCTGAATTAGGTTAAATCAGAGTAAATCCAGAACAACTGCAACACCTATTCAGAGACCTTTACCAAATTTTGAGGGATCAGGATTGCAGTCCAGGTGATTTGAGATGAGGGAGATTAAAAAAAAATGAACATTTTAAATAGGGAAGTGAATGGTTTACCGGGTGATGCTTACCACGTAACCAGTTAACTGGAAGCCATGCGAAGCCAGGACCTAGGAGCCAGCAGCCCCATTGTATCGGCAGCCGGCAGTCCTGCGCGGCTGACTGCTGGCAGCCCTGTGGGGCTGGGCCCACCACACCATAAGCAGGGAGCCACTCCAGCTCAACTGGGCTGGAGCAGCCCCCTTACCCGTGGAATCCCACTTAATCCGTTAACCGGTTAAATGCAATGTTTAACTGGTTAACTGATGAAATGAGATGTTACATCCCTAATTTTAAGTATGTCATGAAACACACCACAAAATCCAACATTGCAGGAATGTTAATGTTTTAAACTCTGCCTTTAAATGAACTGAGAATAAAAGACTCTGCTCTAATGTAATAATATGCAATGTATAGATTTTTTTTATAGACACAACCTTGCCTGTGTCTTTATAATCACAGTAACCTTCCGGAATACAAATCTCATTTATATATCAGTGTTTACACTTCTATAATCTCTTTTTGAAGGCACTTGCTCAATTTGAATGCAACACACTATTCATAAGCTCATCAGCCATCTAGTGTCTGTTAAGAGTTTTAAATTCATGAGAATTGACTGACTGACTTTTCACAACAAATCTTGAAAAAGCAGTTTCTTTTTTATAACTCCATTATGTTTTGGGTCTAAGGCAATGCTTATTTAAATCAGTGAGCATTGGATCAGTCCTCACAGTAGAAACAACTATTTCAACAACAGAAACACAAGATCATTTCTGAAGTATAAAGGTAACCCCATGTTTTTACAGGTATTTGTGTATACTTTTTCATGTTAGTCACATACTTCTTTGTTTGCACATATATACAATTCTTTTTCACCATTTTTTTCTTTGACTCTGGAATAAGACAGATACTATGCTCAAAACCAATCACATTTGTAAGTAGTTTTTAAAAACTAGTTGAGTGTATTTAAATTATATTATATAATTTTATATGACATTGCTAAACACAAACAATTGTTCTTTTATTTGTAATAACTTAGTAGTTTAATAATTTAAACGTATATTGTCATTCATGCATGTTTCCATTTACAGTTATATCTTGCAAGTGACCATAAATCATTTGTTACATTTGCTAAAAAGTCATACCTTCAGCAAGTATTTCTGACAGATGAGCTCTCCTACCTGACTTGTTGGCAAGCTACCTTTTTGGATCCACAGCTTCGTCTTGAATATGAAGGATTTCCAGTTCCTGTAAGAAATTATATAGAAAGTAAAACAATAGTAAATATTAAGAGAATTTAATTAAGGGTATTGATAAACCATTTAAAAGAAAGGTTTATTCTTTGCAGCATTCTGGAAGTCATGGTGAAAAGCAAATTTTTCCATGCATAAACTGTGAACTATAGTCATGGGAGTGAAACGGTCTGCAAATTATAGCTAATGGTTAGGACAGGGAGCTAGGATTCAGCACTCTGGGCATGTCTACACATATGAGAAGATCGATACTCTGGAGTTTGATCTTCTAGCATTCGATTTAGCAGGTCTAGTATAGACCCCTAAATTGAATGCTGAGGGCAGCTCCTGCCAGCATCTGATACTCCTCCTTCTGCAAGGAGTAAGGGAGCATGTGCTTCTGTCAGCCTCTCACTGCATGGATCTGCCACGGCTTGTCTTAACATAAGCTGACTCCAACTACACATTTTGCATACCCTAAGCTGATCTAGTATAGACAAGGCCTTGGGTTCCAACGATAACTTTTCAGTTGACTTGCTATGCAATTATGATAAATCAGTTTGGCCAACATTTTTAAAAGTGGCCACTGATTTTTGGGAATGTCAGGTTTGGAGTTGAATTTGTAACCCTCAGTCTGAATTTCAGAAGCACTTAGTAGCTGCAATTTCACTGTTAATAGGAGCTGTGATTGCTTTGTACTTTTGAAAATAAAGCCCACAGAGCCTCTCAAAAATGGAGAAATCCAAAATCAGTGGCCAATTTTGAAAACATGGATGCTAATCTCAGTGTGTATATGTAAAATTTATGTAATATTTACATACTTCACAGAAGTGCTGGAAGCTTAATTAATACTTCCAAAATTCTTAGGGTATGTCTAGACTACGTCCCTCTGTCACCAGAGGGATGTAAATTAGACATACCGAAATTGTTAATGAAGCAGGGATTTAAATATCACGCGCTTCATTAGAATAAAAATGGCCGCCGCTTTTTGCCGATGAGGCAATTTGCCGGCAAAAAGAGGCAGTCTAGACAGGGATCGGTCGACAAGGAAAGCCTTTTCCAATCGATCCTGTAAACCTCGTTGCATGAGACATAAGGGATCGGTCGGAAAAGGCTTTCCTCGTCGACTGATCTCCGTCTAGACTGCTGCTTTTTGCCAGCAAATTGCCGCATAGGCAAAAAGCGGAACCATTTTTATTCTAATGAAGCGTGGGATATTTAAATCCCTGCTTCATTAGCAATTTTGGTGGGTCTAATTTACATCCCTTTGGCGACAGAGGGATATAGTCTAGACATATCCTTAGAGATTACTCGGTTAAGACCTTTGTAATTCAAGGTAAATATGAAGTAATGAAGTAAAGTTCCTCCACTACCACCCACTACTTCTGTTGTAATATATTTATATGACGCATCTGACTCACAAAACCTGGTTAAAATTAGCAAGTGATTCTTTTTTCTATGACCATTTTAAAAATATTTTTTAAAAAGTTAATTTGAGATCAATTCTGTTGTACTTTAAAAAATAAATTAAAAGTGTTCTTTGCAAAAATGTAACAATACAGTAACAATCTATTTTTAAAAAGCGGAGGCCCCAGTTCTAAACTGTGCCCCAGAATATTTTTGTGTGGAAACCAACTGGGCTTCTCTAGGAAACACCCTGTGATTCCTCTGGTGGCACAGGACCATTCCCTGGCTTTACTACTCTTTCTTACAGTGCCTAGCACTGGGGCATGCCCATGAAGGAAAGAAATATATTAGTGTATGGCCAGAATGTTATACATTCACCTATTCTGAATGCTCCTTTTGGGACTTCTGCAAGGAATTTGTAAAACCAGCTTATTTACAGTGGTGGCTAGACCAGCACATGACTGCCCCAGTATCAATGAGGTACAGCACAACCCAAAATCAGACCTTGTGTTTTTAGCATATTACATTCACTAATTTGAAACATTTCACTTGCACAACAAAAGGACTATTTAATTGCAGTCTTTAAAATGTCTGTGAAAAAGATTCTCTTATTTATTCTTTCTTTAGGCAAACAGTAAAGTCCTTATCACTCACTGCCATACAAATCGGGGATTAGCAGTTCCTAGGAACTACTGGCTGAGGTAAGTATAATTTATGACAATATAAACATCAGGGATTCAGGGATATTTTTCATTAATCAAGTTTAGTATATCAAGAATGTAAGCAATGAGACAGGTTCTCTCAGTACAGTTAGTGAGAAAACAAAAGAAAGTATAGACCACACTCTCAATTTATTGCCAGACTGTAAATTAGTGCTTCTCTGGGTCTGCAATCATTCAGTTCAAACTTTGGATGTGCTTGCTGACCAATAGTAGTCCTTTATTTGTAGAGAAAGTTGGACCTTAGGAAGTATCCTAGATCAGAATTTTTTTTTAATATAATGTAGAAAATTGCATGTAGAATACATGGACTCTAACAAAAAATAAGTAAAGTTATGATATTGGTGTGAATGTAACTTCTGCTTTCTATATTATATTCTATATTTGATCCTTGTGGAGGCCTTTGAGTCAGAAAGTCTGCTGGGGTGAGGTTGAAATTATGAAAGCCAGGGAGCCTAAAGTAAATCAGCACAGCCCCCAGAATCAGTAGAGCTGACTGAGGAACAGGGTGTTTTCAGTGCAAACCTATATCAATGGAGGACCCATAGCACCCCAACTAAAAAGAGCTGCTATGCACCAGTGGAAATTCTGAAGGAAGGCAGGCTGCAGTAGCACCACCTGCTCTTCTTTAGGATTAATGAATACTCCCTGGAGTGCTTTGGGATAAGATGGGTGAATCTGGACCAGTGATAACTTTTCCTTTTGGTCTTTGATTTCTAAAATTATAATTACAAAGTTTCTAAAAATGCATGAATAAAATGGCTAAATAAACCAAAAGCTATGTAAGAAAAGCTATTTATGAAATGGTTAGAGGAGTAATGTATAGTTTATATAGACTCACCATTAATTTCTGAGACTGAGAGCATGGAATGTATAGTCATTCTCTCTAGCCATGCTACTGTTTTCTCTTGACAGGTCATACTTTGGAAAGGTATATGAAGTCGTCTGTCACACCTATTTGGATTCCCATAAAGCTGAAGAAGATAAGAATTACTGGATAATAGTCACTGCGAATCCCAGTGATGATGAAAGTAGCATGTTTGACAGACCTAAGCCTCCCTCAGAGGAGACCAGAGAGAGAGAGAAAAATGAACTCTGTGCAGGAACATAGAATGTAATAGTCCAAGATCAAAAACATTTATTTTCATTATGCGTTTTCAAAATGAAAATTCAAATTTTGATGATAATTAGAGCTTTGAGTGCACTTCACAATTTCTCTATTCACATTTTATTTTTATCCCTAGATTCATTTGTTTTATAAGTAGATATGAAAATCTGCCATTAGTTATACAGGGTAACCTCACTGAAGTCAGTGGAATTGCTTTTAAGTGAAAGTGAGGACAGAATTTGATCAGTACAATTTGGTGATCTATATATAAGCTCAGCTCCAGGAGTCTTCTTAACCAATGGCTTAATTTTCTCATTTTGACATTCACTGGTGGTAATGGATATATCAAAAATCAGCAACACTAATGGATTTTCTTTAACTTAACAGTCCTTACAGCCTATTAACCTCTAGGGATGTTATCGTGTAGACAAATACATGATTAACCAATAAGCCTCAGCTCATCTGTATCAAAGGTAGCAAAGGAGGGAGGGGGAAAGCGGGAGCCAGTGCCCATGAGGCTCCCCATGAGTATCGCGTCTGCCTGTCCCCTTCAACCTCCCACTGCTGCCTCTGATGGACCAGCCTTTGTCTGCGTGGCACTGACCCCACCCCCCACGGACAGGGACTGCTGCTACCCCGTGCTGCTACCTCTGTATCAGAGGCAGCAGTTCAAGGCAGCAGGCAGCTAGTCTGTGAGGGGAGCTGGTTTTTAAACTGGCTCCCCTCGCTCATCAGCTCTGCCTGCCACCTGTGCTGCTGCCGCCATATCAGAAGCAGCAGTGTGAGATGGCAGGGGGTTCCCTAAGAATGGGGCTGGCCCCCAAAAACTATCGAATAGTTGGTCATGCAACGACTAAAATATCATGCGGTTACATGATTATTCAATTACACCATATCTAACATCCCTATTAACCACTTCTTTCAAAATAATCCACTATCTCCTTTTTTAAGGGTAATGGATATGTGGTAGTTTCCATAACATTAAAAAGCTAAAGATGTGCCAGTTTATTGGAATTTTTGACACCTAAAGACCAACTCAGAGAATCTTATGTCATTCAAACTCACTGTTTCCTTTCACTAGCACAGCATTGACAGGTGTTCAAAAATAATGAATCAGGCCTTAGAACTTATGAGACTAACTTAAATATTTTTTAAAAATAGTGCTTTTAGTGTTCTTTACTACATTTACCTTCTGGATTTTGAACCATTAGGAATCACATATTCAAGCTTTTCTCCCGAGTGCAAGGCCTACAGGAATCATGCATCTACCTCTGGGCTGGAAGAGCAGCATCGCTTGGACAGGCTGTTGGTGCACAAAGGGGAGAAAGGAAATTTTTGGCAAAAATATTAAAACAAATCTCTGTTCTTATAAACTGCCAAGAAATCTTTAATGTCCATGAAGTTATGACAAGACCTTGATTTTTAAACATTTTACCAAAATAAACTTCATGGAACTCTAGAAGGGCTGATCTGACCCTGTCATGATTCCAAGCTGTGTTGCTAGAATCTGTTTGATTTAAACCTACTGCCTAGGACTTTTGAACCACTGCCAGCATCCAATATCAATTATCAAATTATTCTTTCTGTAGAACAAGAAATAATGACAAAACTTATGAAACTAAGAAAAAAACTATCATCTATTTGCCCGTTGCAAAACTGAAAAACTAGTGTTGCTAATATTTGTGTATGAATCTATGCATTTCCACTTTGGTCTCCAGTACCCAGCAAGGTTCTCTGTCATACATAGTAGTTAATTCTAGTCCCTGAAGATTCAAAGATACCTTAAAATAGTAAACAAAAATAAGCCTTGGTTTGCAACTTACTGAATCTGTTGTTTTGTGTGTAATTTTTTAGATGCCCTCTTGCTGCCACAATAAGTCAAATATATTGTTGATAGAATTGCCTTTGGCCCTTTTCTCATAACCACACCAAATGGCAGATGGTAAATAAAAAGATCTGGCTGCTCTGATGGTTTAGTGGTAACACTGTGCATCATTAATGAGCCTCTAAATCCTTCTATCCTCCTTAATCAATCTACAAATGCTAAAAGTAAAAGCTTCTCATGGTTTGCATTCGTAATCCAAAACCATAATCTCTTTTAACATAATAAATTGTTAGCTAAAGAAAAACAAGTACTGTATTACAAGGAAGAATTTGAATTCCATAAAGCATAAACTAGTCACATACTTTTATTTTTTTTTACTTTGGGTATAACTTTAATTGATGAATCCACTATATTCTAATTCAGTATTTTTATAATGTAATGGAGTTATGATATTTTATACAGATTGAACCTCTCTAGTTCGGCAATGAGGAATAAGGGTTATTTCGAGAGAAGGGTTTTCTCTCGAAATAACCGTGTCTTATTTTGAAATAGCGCTATAATGCAAATATGCAAATGAAGCACGGGATATTTAAATCCTGGCTTCATTTTCAATTTCGAATGTCTTCATTTGCATCCCTCTCTCAAAAGAGGGTGCAAGTGCAGACATGCCCAACCGTGCATGGAAAAAATTACACTAATGTAGACACCGTTTTGCCAGAAATTCAGTGCTACTGGCCTCTAGGAGGCCTCTTGCAGCTGTCCACTCTGACCAGCACTTCCTCTTCTACTGCTTTCCTGGTGAGCTCAAAAAGCCCCAAGAACAGTAGAATGGCTTGTCCCACATGACCAGCATTGGATGCAAGCAGCACACCACTGCTCACATGGAGAAGAATTCCCCCAACAATCCTTTGAACACCGTGACAACTGCAAGTACTTATGCTCCCATTGGGTTCAGTTCCCAGGGCACAAAAGAGCTTCAGCCTGGAGTGTCCAGGAAAGCTTGGACCTTATCAAGGTGTGGAGAGATGAAGCCATCCTAAATGAGCTCAGAACCATCAAGCAAAATGCCAAGATTTATGGCAGGATCCCAACCTGCCTGGCAGATAAAGGATATTCCAGGAACGCCCAGCAGTGTAGGTTAAAAATCAAGGAGCTGAGTCAGTCAAACCACTAGGCGAAGGAGGAGAGCAAAATTTTGGGGCAGCACCTCACCCATGCTGCTGCTATGAGCAGCTGGATGCCATTCTGGGGTGCTCCCAGCCAGCTTCCCCAGTGTGGTCATCAAGTCCGGACAAGACAAAAGATTCTTTATTGGTTGAACAGCAGGTGTGGGGTGTGGCACGGCATGGGATTAAATGGAAACAGGGAATTCAGGGGGAAGAGACCTTGATTAAAACCCCTTCAAGGCATCTCTGATTTGCACTGCCCCTTGCTGTGCTCTCCTTCTGGCACTAGTGTCCACTGCTCAAACTCACAGGCTAGGCGCTCTGCCTCAGACTCCCACTCAGTCAGAAAAAGTTTCCCCTTTTGTTTTCACATAGGTTATCAAGAACAAAACAGGACAACACTACAAAGGGAATGTTGCATTCACGGAGGCCCAAGCGGGTCGGAAGACTCCTAAAGCACCCATTTAAATGTCCGAACACATATCACCATTCTGCATCTGCTCAGCCTATTATTGAACTCCTTTCTGGGGTCCAGGCTGCCCGTGTAGGGCTTCATGAGCTATGGGAGCAAGGGGTAGGCTCACTCACCCAGGATCACTATAGGCATGTCCATCTCTCCACCTCGGATTGTCCAGTTGGGGAAAAGTTCCAGCATACATCTTTCAGAAGAGGCAGGAGTTCTGTAAGATGCAGGCATCATGCTCCTTACCCAACCATCTGACACTGATGTCAGTGAAGCTGCCTTTGTGATCAACAAGCGCCTGCAGCACTATGGAGATGTACCCCTTCTGGTTGATGTACTTCGAGGCATGGTGTTCATGGGCCAACATGGGGATGTGTGTTCCTGTCTATGGTGCAAACACAGTTGGAGAAGCCCATGGCAGCAAAGCTATCCACTATGTTGTCCATGTTTCCGAGTCACAACGCTGTGTAGCAGGATGTTATTGATGGCCCTGACTACTTGTATGAGAACAGCCCCGACCGTAGATTTCCCTACCCCAAACTGATTCCCCACTAACCGGTAGCTGTCTGATGTGGCAAACTTGCATCGGGCAATTGCCATGCACTTCTCTACAGTCAGAGCAGGTCTCATGCAGGTATCCTGGCACCTCAGGGCAGGAGAAAGACACTCGCAGAGTTCCAGGAATGTGACCTTCCACATGCAGAAGTTCTGCAGCCAGTACTGATCATCTGATTTCTGCATCATAATCTGACCCCACCCATGAGAGTTCATCTCATGGCGCCAGAACTGGCATTCCACTGTGTCCAGAGGATTGATGGTGGGTGCTCTAGAATGAGTGCCAAATCTTGCCGAAACAGGGCCTCCATACCACACTGAGCTTTGTACTTGTCCTCTTCCTGGTGGAGCACCATGCATACACAAAATACAGCACCATGAGGAGCACCATGACACTCACGAGCATGGCAATGCTTTCTTGCATACCAGACTCCATGCTTACAGTGCTCTGGCATCTGCACAGGCAACCAGGCACAAAAAAACACCAGCACACCGTACCTTCTTTATCTCACATGACGGGGGAGGGACTAGAAGAGTACCTTATGGGACGCAGCTAACATGAGCCCCTCCAACCAACCACAGCAGAGTTTTGGACCCAGAGGGCACTGGAAGCATAGCCCAGACCACAGAGCTATGTGTGGTGCCCTGCTCTCTGAGTTGATGGTAGGTTCCCTAATGGGGACGCGCTAATTGGAACAACATTCAATTCTTCCCTGTAGTGAGGACATGCACCTTCAACTTCTCAAAATTGGATGCCCAGAAATTGACCACAGTAGAATCGACCTTATCTCACAGTGTAGATGTGCCCTTAGAAAACATTTAGGGGTAAATTAGACCTAAATAACAGCACAGAGCACTGAGAGCCAGGACTGGTGGCTGAAAACAAACTTTATGGGGCCACAGGAAACTCAGCCAAACCCATGATAAATGAACATTGAGCTAATTAAAATCATGCCAGACCACAGATGTTGCCAGACAAGAGTGCTGGACTAGAGAGGTTCAAAGTAGCATAAACTATCTCATTTTTAAAACAGATTTTCTTTTTAAAATTGCATTGCTCTATTTTAGTGTTATAC